AATTATTTCTTACTATATTATAAATGTATTATAAATATATATATTTTGGGGGGATTTTATTTTTTTATTATTTTTATTTCAGTATATTATGGGGGTACAAATGTTTAGGTTACATATATTGCCCTTGCCCCTCCCCACCCCTCTAGTCAGAGCTTCAAGCACGTCCATCCCCCATGCGGTGCGCATCGCACTCATTATGTATGTATATACCCATCCCCTCCTCCCCCCTCCCATCTGCCCGACGCCCAATGAATGTTATTCCTATATGTGCACTTAGGTGTTGATCAGTTAAAATCAATTTGATGGTGAGTACATGTGGTGCTTATTTTTCCATTCTTGGGATACTTCACTTAGTAAAATGGGTTCCAGCTCTATCCAGGATAATACAAGAGGTGCTAGATCACCATTGTTTCTTATAGCTGAATAGTACTCCATGGTATACATATATCACATTTTATTAATCCACAAATGTATTATATATTAATATACAATAAATGCAGAAACAAGATAAACTGCAGGATACTACAGCTATCAGCATTAATACTGGAAGTCTCATTCTTTTAAAAGCGCAATATCTGAGAAATTCTTAAAATTTAAGAAGTATATTTATACTCTTGTTTACTAGAAAGAAGACACTATCTTTGGTTCCTTAGTTTTCAGCTATCTTCTTGGTTCTTCACCTCTTGGTGAAGTTGGAGTATTAAAACTTGAGAGAGTGAGACTCTGTCCCCTAGAGTTTCTAAGTGCCAAGGAAGGGAATGTTAGTTACAATGACATATGTACCCTGTTTAGGGTTAGTGATTGTGTAATCACTAATCGATGATCAAGAGAAAAAGAACTATACAATTTCTATCTTTTATGATCCCTATTGAGGAGAATTGTCTTTAAGTGGAAACACTAAGACCAGGTGAAGAGGAGATTGACAAATCAAGAAGGTAAGATTGATAAGCCTAGAGAGTCACTAAACTGCCTTAACTAGTTAGAGTTCCAGATGAAGATAATTAGATCTCATGGTATTAATGATCTTGTAAAAGATCATTAGATTTTCGTTTGATTAGAGAACTGGCATAGGTAAGTAAACTGTTAAAAATACTGGATTATAGGAAAAGTTCAAGGATTTTGGAGATGGATGAGCTATCCCATTTTTCAAAATGAAAGACCTGCCCAGCCTTAGTTTTCTTCATCTTTGTAATGGCAATAGTAATATCTCCTGTTACAATTTAGATTCTCCAGAAAGAAGGCTCTGAGATAGCTTGGTGTTAGGAGTTTATCAGGAACATCTGTGGAAAGGAAGGGGAGGAAGCAGAATTGGACACAGGGAGACGTGAAGTTGTGTTGCAGGCCTGATGACCCCACAGGGAGCTCCAGAGCTGATGTGGCCTGTGAGAATTAAATCACAGGGGCCAAAATCCTTGGACCTTTATCTTTTGCTCTTGGTCCGTAATTGGATGTGGGTGCTCCCAGAAGTGTGTGAACTTGAGTAGGCAGCTCTTTTCAACTAAAGCAATCCCTGAAGGATTGATGGGGAATCTGGGCAATATATCTCCATGTGTACGTTTTAGGACTACACATATGAAGTACCTATCACAGATCTTGATACTGGGTAGATCCTCAATAGTAGCTTTCATTATTATGTTTATTATTCTGTCCTCCTGAGAATTTTAATTATTTGAGAGAAGATAGAATGCATGCATGTAACATTTATAAAGATCCAAAGACTGGCAGATATTTAATCTGTTAGAATGATCACAGGTACCCCATAAATTGTACAACTGTTTTATGTATCTGTAAAAATTTAAAAAAATAGAATGAAGTTTCAATTAACATCTGAATGGGTGAACTAAAGAGCAGAAGCTTGCGAAATGATAACAGCTAAAATTTGCTGCTCTTAGATTATTGATTGAAGGCAGAAAAAGAAGGAAGGGGTAAGAAAATCAGCTGAGAATATAGAAAAATATTTATATGCATAAATGTTCATCATGTCATTAGTTATAATAGCTCATATCAGAAGTAACTTAAATGTCCAACACAGAATAGTTAAGTAGATTATGGTGAATCTGTGTAGTGGACTATAAAGCAGTCATAAAAATTTCAAAGAATATTTAATATATGGAAATGTCCTTGATAGAATGTTTATTAGTAAACCGAAATATAAACTTACAGAGTTTTATCCTCATTATGTAAAAATATTTGAGTGCATGTGTGTAGAGAAAAGTCTGGGGAAATATATTCACTCATTAATGGAGGTATTATGTTACAAGTGACTTTTAGTTTTCTTATATTTTTCTTTGTTCCCATATCTCTACAGTAAACATATTTAACTTAATAAAATCATTTTCCTCACTTTTTTGTTTTTAAGCACCTATAAACATAGGGCTGAGGAGACCTGATTTAAGACCAAAAAACCCAAAAACTTTGAGATATATATTATTATAGTTCCTATTTGGCTTATAATTAATATGGCTGTCTCCAAAGTGCAACTTTAGTCTTTATTAACAAAAATGCAATAAAAAATGAAGAAGGCAGTAGTTCATTTATGCCCAGTTGGAACTGTACCTTTGGGTAAACTTGAGTTGTTCAAATGAACAACTCTATTAACACCACATATCATATAAGGAACTGATCATTTCTTTTTTGGAGAAGATTGGGGGTGGGAGAGCATTGACATCTATTGTCAGATATTTAAAGTTGTGTCATGTGGAATTCTATATTCTTTTAAAGAAAAGATCTAGATTTAATGGAAGAAATTGGACAGACACAGGGAAGCAAATTTTAGTTAAGGAAGACATTTCTTTACAGTCCTTTCCCTCCTCCCCCAAAAAGAATGACCTGATTTTGGTAGAAGTAAAATTTCAACACTAAAAATATTACTATTCAGCATGATATTTAGACTGTCCTACAGAATCCTAGGTTCCTATAAATTAGCCTTAGAAGTTCTGTAAATATTTGGAAGATACCACAAAAATTAAATACCAGATAATTGAACTGTAATTTAAAAATACATGTTCACTCAAATGTTTCAAATACCAAATTTTAACATTTTGGAAATCACTAACATGTTCCTGAAGTGCTTAGTTTTGATGTGGACCTCTAAATCAAGTTTTTGCCTGCCTGCTTGCTTTTTCAGAGTACAAGTCCAGTTATTTTTCACTTATATCTGTGTATCTGTGTGAATCAGGATTTTTATTAATACTTTGTAACCAAAACAAAATACAGAAATCAGTTGGATACTGAGACTAATTGTAAGTCTGTAATTATCATCCTTGCCCTCTAATTTCAATTTTTTTATATTCGTTAAAACAGGGTGATTGTTTTCAGTGATTGATTTATTCTAATATAATACAGCTTTGTTTTATTTATGGGAATCTCTCCAGAAATTATTTGAAAAAGATATTCCACTGCTTAAAAGTATTTGAAGAAATCTAATATCCAGGATGGTCAGTCCTATCTGTAGAATATATTTTGAATCTGCTCACTCCTCTTTATTTCTCTTGCCTTTGCCCATGTCACTATCATTTCTCATTCAAATAACCTCAGAAACTTTTTAATTGGCCTCCCAATTCCCATTTTGTCCCTTGTAATCTATTCTCCACAAAGCAACTAAAGTGATTTTAAAAAATATGTCAAATAATATCATGTCCTGGCTTAGAACCTTTAGTCATTCCTCTTCCTCTCATCTCCAGCATCACTTAACGTTTTTTTGTAACCCATAAACTTACAAAGCTCTTTTCTGTCTCAGGACCCTTCATTTCTTCCTTTTACCTGGAATGCTCTTAATCCCATTCTTCACCTTGATGACTTCTCACCTTTCATGTTTCAGCTTAAAGATCACCTCTTCAGAGAGTAGAAACTATACTCCCTTTAAGCACTCTGGGTTAGAAATGGCACATGACCCAGCCCTTTACACTCTCAGCACATCTGAGACATGCAGAATTGGAGTAGGGGAGGGAGGGAATGTTATTTCGTCTAGCACAGCATCCTGCTGCGTAGTGAGTCAATATTTTTGAAGGGATGTGCACATGCTTCTGTTTTCGAAGGTAGGAGGAAAGTGGGGAGCAGGAACTGTTAGGAAAACAAAGATATCTTTTCCTCATTTCACCCCAATGAAAGTCTTATATTTAGTAGATTTTGATCATTTATAAATATTTCACAAAAGTTATAAAATTAGGCTGAGAGAGGTTAAATGGCTTGACTAAGGCACACTGCTATTAAATGTGTGTTAGATTAATTCTATTAAATCCTACAACTCTATAATACTTAATAATTTGGCACTAAGGAAATAAAATGCTGTTAGCACAGAAGCTATAATTACAGTGAGAGCCATTTCTTCATCTTGCAGGATCTGTCTCTCTGAGCACTTACACACAATTGGAGCTTTCTAATAAAAACTAGGCGGGAAAAGCTGTTACTCCTTAGCTGAGATAAGTGTGTATCCCTGTATTTTCTTGACAAATCTCTTGATGTGGTGGGAACAAAACTACAAACAGGGTAGATAGATTGTATTCTGTTTTTTCTCATTAACTTGCTGACTCATTTAAGAGTCTGTCTACCTTTAAATACCAGAGAATCCCAGCAGTAGCTTAAACAAATGAGGGGGAGATAATTTTCTCACACAAGAACTTATACAGTGGTAGGCAGTCCAGAACTGGTTCAGTGGCTTCCTCATTTTTAGAAGGTTGGCTTTTGCCTTCCTGCTACTTACTACACGGTCACAAGATGGTTATTCCTCCAGGCACTTGCTGAAAGGGGCAAAGGTGTAAATGGGCAAATGGATACGTATGCCATCTTTGGTAGGTGGGACCTCCAAGGAAATTTTTACAGTAATCAGACTTCTTACATCTGAGTGGCCAGAGCTATTAATATATCACATGGTCCCTTGCAGCTAGAAAATGACAAGGGAGACAATGAATGATGTCTGTATCTTGTGTCCCCCTTCATTTAATGTCTTTTAGCATTATAGCCAAGTACCTAAAGTCATAATAATGCATTATTCCTTTTAGATTTACATTGGTGCAGAAGCATACAGTGGAATTTAACCAAGTGGCAATGGCTAATTCAGACGGATCTGAAGCAATGCTGAACAGAGTGATGACAAAAGATAACATTGGTGTTGCTGTGGTATTAGAGGTCCACAAAGAACTATTTGGAGCAGGTGAGTGCAATTTAAAATATTCATACTAGAAATAAACATCATGCCAGGTTTTCCCATCTCAAAACAAGTGAAGAGAATTGCTGTTATTTATTGCAAAGTTATTGTCTTATCTTTTGAGGAAAGTTAAGGGAGATGGACAGGAAAATAGCACTAACTGTGTAAAGCATCATATACTTCTTGGGTTTTGTGTTTTTTTGGTTTTTGGGTGTTTTTTTTTTTTTTTTTTTTTGGCTATTCTATGATCTCTATCACAGTCTTTTTTACTTGCCAGGTAATCTATGTAGTTTTTTTGATATACCATTAATTCCAAAAGGTTCTTTGAAATAGGGAATATTTTAGTTAGGCTGAATTTAGAAATTATGATGACTTGTTCCTCTTTTGAGCCATATTTTTAGCTTCTTGAGTGTGAATCTTTTGTCTTCAAGGTTAAGTACTTGGCACGTTTTCTCTAGTTTCTTTGTTATTAATATATCTCAGTCATTGTCAGGGTAAGAGCAAGAACAGGATCTTTTATCTACATGGTACTTTTTTTCAGCATTTTAGATTATTTATAGCTTTCTTCAGAGTCAGAAACTCATTATATACTTTGCCTTGTTATCCAGATCTTTTTTACTCTTTCTATTGCCTGCCTTAAAGCATTTCATTATTTACTAGTGTATTATTAAGCAAAGAGCAAGAAGGGGGTGAGACCACATCAGGGCTTTTTTCCCCCCTGTACTTTTTGCAGAAGAAAAGATGGGGTTTTTTTGCCTTGAGTATTGATTTGAATTATTCAGACCATGCATATATGTCAAATCTCCTTTCCCCATCATTCAAACCTCTCTTCCCCATCATCAAAGACAATCAGTCTTTGATATAAGATTTTGAATTTTCTTCTTTTTTTTAGTCTCTTCATTTTACCACTTTTTATGTTATTTCCAGTCCCATTCTTAAAGTTTTTTTTTTTTTGATATTGTGAAGGTTGAATTTTCTTTTTTTTAATTTAACTCCCCTTTTAATTTGTAGAAGAGTAATTCGAAATTATACAATAGACACTTTCACATTCTGAGATAAGTATCTTTTGTATTCCTAGAAGGGAAATTTAATAATATGGGAAATGCTTATGACTCCTTTGTAAGGACAAATTTTTAATCTACAGCCAAAGGTGACACTATAAAACTTCTAGGAAAAAAAGACAAGATTTTGGCTGCAAGTATTTATCTTATGATCAAATTGCTTCAAAAGTGACTGCTTCTGTCACATATAACAGATACTTCAGTTACTTGTTGTCTCATCATTGAAGACAATTGTAGCTTGGTAAAACTAGAAAGAAACTTGATCTTATCAAAATAGCAGACTTAGAAAATTAGGTCATTTTCTCCAGAGTTCATATTTCAATAGAAAATTTTGAGTGACATTTCTTTAAAAATTTAAATAGGAAAATTAAATTTGTGTGTTCACTGATATTCCAACAGTCCAAAAGTATATAAAGTAAAAAGTGAGAGACCCCCCTCATCTCATTCATGCTCTATAAGAATAGCTTTTGTTCATTTCTCTGTACAGATACTAACATATAGAATATATATAAAATGTTATTTAATGCATACTGGGCTTTATGCCTTGAATATTTTATGGGCATCTTTCTCTGTCAGTACATGTTAACTAACTATATTATGCTTAATTTTCACAATTTTTAATGTATTATCCTGTCCACCATTTGGAAAGTATATATGTTGATGTTTATTTTGACAGAATTAAAAAACATAGATTTTAGGGAAAAAAATAAACTTAGAGATCTTCTAGTTGAATATCTCATTTTCCAAATGAACCTGAGCAGCAAAAATGTTAAATGACTGGCCCAAGACCATACAAAATAATTGGTAATAAAACCGTGTCTAAAACCTAGGTGTTCAGACTTTGAGAGCATACTATGCTCTAATTCTCATTTTAAAAATAACTTTGAGTGTAGGGTATGAATTTGTTTAGGTAGCAAATTCCTAGCAAATGCTTTCCTTATTTTGTATAGATTAATATAGTGTTACTGCCATTTACTACTGACCCTTCACTGTTATGCTTAAATGCAAGGCAAAGGAATTCTAGGCAGTAGGAAGAATTTAAATTAAGGTTTAGGTAACTCAAATAACTGAAAACCTGCCTCACTAGGTTATTGTGATATTTACATGACAGATATTGTTGTAATGGACATTGGAGACTCAGAAGGAGGGCGGGAGGGGGATGAGGGATGAAAAATTACCTGTTGGGTACAATAGACACCATTCAGTTGGTGGGTATGCTAAAAACCTTGACTCCACCACTACATAATTCATCCATATAAGAAAAAACCACGTATACCCCTAGATCAATTGAAATTTTTTTAAAGTGCTTATTTAAGAACTCAGCAAATGCAAGGTATTATAATCAAATGTTGATTAAATCATGATATAACTTGGGCATGTAGAACAGAAGTCAGCAAACTTTTTCTGTAAAGGGCCAGATAGTAAATACTGTATTTTAGGCTCTATGGGTCACATACAGTCTCTATCACACTATTTTTTTTTCTTCATAGAACCCTTTAAAAATTTAAAACCATCCTTAGCTCATATAGGCTCTACAAAAACATGTGGGCCAGATTTAGCCCATGGGCTACAGTTGGCCAACTTGATCTAGAAGAATAATTACCATATTAAGATTACCAGAATCTCAGCCCTCTGACTTCTAAGAAATACTTTATGAGATGGAAGTTATAAATTCATGGAAAAGGATAGAATAGTAGCTATGGATATTTTTGAGAAAACCTTAAGATACCACTTTTCTTGAAACATAAAGCATAACTTTATCTTCTTTCTGTAATGTTTAAATTTAGGTATGAAGCCTATTCATGCTGCAGACAAACAGCTGCTTATAGTGGCAAATGCCCACATGCATTGGGATCCAGAGTATTCTGATGTGAAACTTATCCAGACCATGATGTTTGTCTCAGAGGTTAAAAACATTCTGGAGAAAGCCTCTAGTAGGCCTGGCAGCCCAACTGCAGATCCTAATTCCATCCCGCTGGTGCTATGTGCAGATCTTAACTCATTGCCAGATTCAGGTATTTATAACATCTTTTCCTCGTTGCTTTCAGTTTTGCTTTTACTCTTAGTTCAAAGGCCAGCCTAGCTCCTAACTTTTCAGTAGAGAATTTCCCTTCTAAATTAGGGAGTATATCCGTAAGAATCCCAGGGATGGGACATGGTGTGATTGAGAGAAATTTAATAAAGAAGCTATTTCCAAAGATATGAGCCAGATTAAAGGAAATAAAACAATAAATGATGCAGTACTCTGCTACTAGGGGAGTTAAGGTCCCTTTACCACCCCTATACCTAAAAGGGAAAGTGTTGGGAGCTGTCATCAGACAGAACTTAGAAACAATATAGTTGTAGCAGAGGGCCACATAATAGGAGGAATGGCTTTGAATTGAATGATGCAGTCAATCCCTGGCAAACCAAGAAAGGAGCCAGGGGAGTATATACCCGACCCCACTCTGCTCCTGTCCTCTGATCTCCTGCCAGTGCTGCCTATTGACCAAATCCAACTAGAAGCAAGAGGGGGGCAGGGATTTGCAGTTGATGCAATAAAGATCAGCCTCCTGAGGCACAGAGTGTAGTGGAGAAGGGTGACATGAAGGGGCAACCAGAAGAATATTCATCATGGGTAGCTATATAATTTAATAATTTTGGCAACTTTCAAGTGAATTTGTTAAGCGATATTTGAATACTATTATTACGTATAGAAGAATTATCAGAATTCTCCTAGCATTTGATATTACTTCTTGAGCTCCACTAAGCTACTTTATGTCTGAACTTATTTTTTTTTATTTTAGATATTAAATTTCAAATGTAAAACATTGAAGTGTTACTCTTTTGCTAATACCAAAGCATATTATGAATTTGGTATGTTATCACTATTGGGCTACGTAAAATTATTTCAAATGATCACTCAACAATAAATATAATCCAAATGCCTGGATTTGGGATATTAAAAAAAAGTCACTAAGCTAAAGAACATCTTTTTCTCCTTAGCAAATAAATGCTGAAATCATTGTTTACAAATATTTATCTTCAACCGCTGGCCCACCCGGCACCTTAACCACATTTTCCTTTCTTAATCCCCTTTTGAGTTGAATTGCTTTCAAGTGCAAGTTTTCCTCCTATTTTATTTGATTGTTTAAGCCAATTAACTGTCATTTGGCGGCACAGCATGGTGAGTTGACTCTGGAGCCCCAGCCTATCAGGGTTGGATCCTGGTTCGGCTACTTACAAGCTATGTAGTCTATGACTAAGTTCCTCATTTTAAGTAAGAGAATAATGATATTATTCACCTCATAGAGTTGTTTGTGAAATTTAAGTATGTAAAGCACTTAGAATAGTGCCTGGCATGTAGTAAATACTAGATAAATGATACTTCCTTTCGAGGTATCAGAATATGCACAATGCTGATATTGCATTTATCACTCATTCATTATATCTTGCTCTCATTTCTTGTAACAGATAGGAAAAGATGACTCTTAGCAGTGTTCACTAATCATCATCATCAGAAGGGCTTTGATACATTTTTCATATTTGCTAATTCAGTGGAAGCAGTGCACTTTTTTGGATGTTGCTATTTTGTTTAGCTTTTTAGACACATTTAATATTTTTGGCCAAGAGGTATACCTCTGGCATATAATGTTCTTTGTAGTGTCAGACTGAGAAAACTCACTCTAGCTCAAAATGATGATACTGTCTAGCTACTATCACTAGACATTGAAATGCTGAAGATGCAAAATCCTTTTTGATTTCTTATTATGTGTGCTCTGTTTATATATTCCCAAAATCGTTGATTGACTGCATAGAATAGGGAAATACCAAGGAGATAGTGGTTTGGAATAATTTTTCAAAAGCATTTAGGATCAAGGCCTTTCTGGTGAATGCCACCCTAGGTCCTGGAAATCATCTTTAGCCTGAAGAACCACTGAGAAAACAAAGGATATTTTTGGGTGATCCTGATACTTTGTTTGAAATAGGCAAATATCCTTTAATTTGGTTGAATCATGAAATTGCCGATACTTGATTTTTTTTTTTTTTTAACAGCAGCAAGAAAAGGCAATTTTATATGGTTCAATATAATCAAACACTTGGAACCTGGTGGGTCCACCTGGTAACGGGTCTTGGCTGTGAAGCCTTATGTAAGGTCTAAATGCTAAATGGTAGTGTTCCTCTTTTCTTTATTCTGCCAGGTGTTGTGGAGTATTTAAGCAATGGAGGAGTAGCTGACAACCATAAAGACTTCAAAGAACTAAGGTACAATGAGTGTCTTATGAACTTCAGCTGCAATGGAAAGAATGGAAGCTCAGAAGGGAGAATCACACATGGCTTCCAACTTAAGAGCGCCTATGAAAATAACTTGATGCCTTACACCAATTACACCTTTGATTTCAAAGTGAGTGGCAGCCTCTGGGCTGGTGTGGAAATTATTTCAAATATAAGCATGTGACAAGAAATGTGTAAATTTTTTATTTACGATAAATTGTATAATCTTCAGAAATTTTTAGATTCTCAGAATGTCTAGGCTAACATATGCACCTAAATGTAAGGAGGTTTGTTAGGTTTTGTGGTTATTGTTGTCTTGAGAATTCCTTTTGAACCCTCATTTGTTCAAATTTCAGGTAATATTGATAACAGCAAAAACTTCTAAAATGCTTACTAGGTGCCAGGCACTGTTCAAAGCAACTCGTATATATTAATATAGTTAATCTCCACCTGCCCATACCATCTCTAACTTTCAGCAAGAACCGAAATAAGCACCAAATATAGCAAAACTCACCTTGAATGAATTTATATAGTCTTTTCTCAAAATTTTCTTAGAAGTCTTTGGTATCTTTCTTTTAGGCATGGTGTTAGAGAAGGTTGTACTTAAGGTCTATTTTATATCCTTGTATTCACACTAATATATTCCCAGGCAGTGGAACACACCAGCTTAAAAAAGAAAAAGAAAAACATTTTTTGCAAAATAAGAAAAAAAAAAACCTTACAGGTTTGGTCCCATTGTACAGGACCAGCTATTCTTTAGAAAGCTTGATTGTGGTGTCTTTCTATATTTAATCTGTTTCCCATTGCCAATTTTCTGAGTACTCTATCTACCTGTAGCTCTTCTATTGCACCTCTGTTTGACTTTCTGGCATTTTAGGTATCTATACTAAAATCTTATATTATCTTGAAAAAAATGCAAATGTTAGAAAGTGGTTTGGTATAAGAAGCCTAGAGGGAATTTAATATCAAAGCAAATTTATGAAATGGGCTCTTTCACATCTCTAATAACCTTTTTCCCTTTTTAGTGTTTGTTAGCTCCTTTGCAAGAAACAAATAGAGGAAAAAAGGAAATTTGTGTGTTGATATTATTAATCAACTTTTGTAATCATAAAGTGAAAAAAATTGCTTAGAGGTTGAATCTATTTTAATATTTTCCTATTAGAGGAGATAATTCTATCCAATCATTCATATGCAGTGATGTGCTGGTAAATATTTAATAACAAGCTTTCTGGGAAAAAGAAGCCCTGATTTGTAGTGTTTGCTGATTTCTGTGGCTTAACAGTAGAGTTGGGAAGAGGTGCTAAGAAAGCCAGTACTACCTGGCTGGAGCACATTACTGCTCTTATGTAAGCTTAAAGGAACACCTCTAAGAATTAATGATACACAGTTTACTATAGCTTAAATCCTATCCTTGTGACTATAGTGATAAATAATACATCAGCCAGCCTAACTCAGAAAACCTGTAATAAAGTTCCCCAAAGTAAGTGTGTAATAATTCTACAGCTATTATTGTTGCTTTGGTATGTGTTTAGGTAAAAAGGTAAAAAAATTTTCTATCTCACCTAGACTTTTTTAAGGGTTATTTTTTCTTGTCCACAAACCAAAAATCATCTTCCTCTGTATCTGAATTAGTTTAAAATTCTTTATTGATATTTCTTCAGAAGATCTTATGTATTAATAATTGAATCAAAAATCTTAATGAGCCATTTTCATTATCCAAAGAAGTACAGGTAGAGAACTAGAAATGCCTGCCTCAGAAAGCGTTTGATGTTTGGATTTTACAGGATGGGATGAGAGGAGAACAGAGATATAAATTGGTGGGTGAGAGAGGTATGTATGAGAAGATAAATAGGCTGACTGGGTAGATGGATGGGATGAGAGGGTGAAATAGATGGGAAGGAAGGATGGCCAGAGAATGAACTAAGGGCACACTTGACTAGAGAGAATTGAGCTTTTAGTCCAAGTAATAAAAAATGGACTTTTCAGTTTTATACAAATATTTTACATAGTTAATGCTATTCCAATATTGAAGGCATTCAGAAAAAAAGGATAGGTAACATCAAATATAAAATGTCATGTGATCAGCATTAAATACAGATCTGAACACAGTATCCTGCCATTGTACCAGTGAGGCATTAAATTTCGTTTACATAGCATTTCTTTACTTTCTTGGTTATTGAATAAGAGAAATGTAGAACAGTGATATTTGGAACTCAGATTCATTGAATCTAGAACTGATTTGGAGTGGACTGAAGAATAAGCAGTTAGGAGAATTATTCCTTTCTGAACATTTGCAGACCAGGTATGTTTTATTAACAGCTTAAACCTGCTGCGCCTCACTCCATCCCCAGCCCCCAGTGTGAGGGTGTGCCCGAGTCATTTAATGAAAGGAGGAAGGACAGCTTTCCTATTGTGTCAAGTAGTAAACCTTTCTTTGTTATATTATGAAATTTATAATTTTCTCACATTCTTTTAAAAAACAAAACTTAGCATAATGCTAGCTCATAATCTGTTCTCATTGTTTTTACTTTTTTCTTAGATACGGTTCTGTAGACATATACAATATAGTCTTTACTAATATAAGACTATTTTCCCTCATTATTGTCTTTTTAAAAAAGAAACTAAATCAAAAAAAGTTAAGAATCATTAGTCTCTAATCTTCTTTGCAAATATGATCAAAGTTAGGGATCCCTCCCCATATATGCATTATGTGCAAATATTTGGGCAAATTCACAGATGTAACCTTGCAGGGTTTTGATAAGAGTTCTTACTCTGGATGTTTCAAACCAAGAAAATAGTTACAAGTGATGCCCCCAATTAAATGCATCTTACTTTCTGGAGTGTTTAACCTCTTTCTTGGAGCCTACATTTGCAAAGAACTCTAGCAGCTGATGTGCATGATGGCACTCTAATAAAGAGATGAGATATAGGTTTTATTCAACATAAGTGATTGAGTTTATTTTATTTGTACTTTGTTTACTTGATAGTTGAAGCAAAAGGTAGTCTCAAGGGGAGGTAAAACCACTCTGACCCTTGTTAACTCTTTTCCTAAAATATTCACTGTAAAACTAGGGATTAACTAAAATGAAGAATCAATAGCTTGTGATCATGTCATTTCCTGACTGTTCGGACTTGCAGTTCCCTGAACTCAAGTAGCTTCCTTAATTTGTGGTAAAGTTAAGGTTGGATAAGGTGTTACCTTTTAAAAGAAGGACTATTTTGGTCTTGGTCAAATGAAAATCAGCAAACTGAAGTGATTGTTTCTGAAATTTTATAAAAATTCTTTCATTATTTTTTAAAAAGCCCATTTCATTCCAAGCTGATTTGATAGGAACTAGATAGGAAGAAATTTAATTTTGTTCTCTTATATACACAGCCTAGGACAATAAAGGCCCGCTAGTTTTGAGACGTACTGATCAGATAAATCATCTAGCTCTGAGAGAGAGAGCTGATATACATGGGTCCCTGCTGAATGATTTTTGTTTAGTCATCGTTACACAACAAGGAAATCCAGAATTTACACATATACCAGGAGTTGTGAAAATGAGTATTTTAAACTAAAGAACAAATTAGAACAATTAACTGTGTGTAGTATTTCATATATGTGTAGCAAATCTGGGAAAGCTGAACCTAGGTAGGATTAGCAAATCTGAAAACATGCTTTCCTATGGCTTCATTCAGGTGCGTTTGGATGTCTTGGTGTGTAAATGAAAATAATGCCAATTATTATAAAAGAATTGGGTCATACCTTTTCATTAAATATGTATTTATATAAATATCCTATTTTCTACTTAGTGTAACTGATAGAATTAGTACAGTTTCCATTATATTTTTACTGATATGTTAGATTTTACTAAACCAAGCAGGCCAATTCTAAAGATGACTAGGCGTGATTTGGTGTATCTAGTTTTCAGTTTATCACTTATGCACAAATGGAAGGTTTTATGATTCCATTAGAGTGCTGTGTTTCCTTATTGAGCCACCTCTATTTCATCTAATACCCTTGGAAGACTTGAGCCTTATTTGACCCACTGTTAAGAAAACCGGTACCAGAAGTCAGGTTACTCAGTTATTTGGCTTTTATAAATTATGGAGTGTTCGTTATATATCTTGATTTTTTCTTCTTTCTAAGCATATATTTTTCTTTTTTTCCAATCCCCAATCTCTTTCCAGGGCGTGATTGACTACATTTTCTATTCCAAGACTCATATGAACGTGCTTGGTGTCCTGGGGCCTTTAGATCCTCAATGGCTGGTTGAGAACAACATCACTGGGTGTCCACACCCTCATATCCCTTCAGACCACTTCTCACTGTTAACACAACTTGAACTCCACCCTCCACTCCTGCCTCTTGTCAATGGTGTTCACTTGCCTAATCGGAGGTAGTGGAGTACTGCCCCGTAAAGACGGGGATCTGTTGCTATGGACCTGTACAGTTGTAAATCAAAGTATGTAGGAGTGAAGTATGGCCATCCTTAAGCTGCTTCTTCAGGTTCCTTTCGTTATGTGTTTGCTATAAGACTTTGTACATTTTTGTGCATATTGGTATCATTTGGCACTAGGGCTGGAACCAAAGTATTACTCTCTTTCCAAAATTTTAATTTAACATGTTTTTAAATTGGACTTTCTTCATATTATATTACGAGTCCGCATTCATAATTGACAAGTTACCAATTGGAGGCCCAACAACAGTGTATTTGTTTTTCCAAATCACGTGCTTTCTTTTGGTTTCAAATGAGCCAACCATTTTTGTAAAAGGCAACTTTTTAAAACTGTAAGATTTTAAAGTGAATGATGGCATGCCTTGCAGGGAACACTTTCTTAAATTTATGTTTCTTTATAACAAACTGATTTTTGGCTTCCCAAGTCATTTGCACATTAACAGAGCACTTAAATTTGCTTGATCTGTATATAAGCTATCATATAGCCTCTAGCCATAATAAGAAAATTTGAGAAACTAAAGGTGGTTGCACAGTATGCTTTCAAAATCAAGCATTTAACACAACATGACCATTTCTTGGCCAAATGCTGGTTGTTTTTTTTGTTTGTTTTGTTTGTTTTTCTGACGAATCACTTTTTTTTTTGTCCACCTGTTAGTTGTAACTTTAGAAGTATTCTAAGCCTGTCTTTCCAATTTATTTATAGGGAAACAACAGTTAATTTATACTGCCTCACATCTTGAAAATAGAATTTGGTATGTTTAGGACGCCCACAAAATTAGTGTCTACTATTTTTCATTATTCCTATTCACCCTTCTTTTCTGTCTGATTGTGCTGGAAAAACAGATATTATATGATCTATATTATTTTTGCTGTTACAGTCAAATGTTTAAAAAAAAAACCAAAACTCCTAAATGAAAAACCCTGATCAACGTTTCAGAAGGGAAAAACCATACAAATATTTCATGTTTCCCAAAGTAGGTTATGTGGCTTGTTGGTTTTGGTTTTTTGAGGTGGCAATGGAAAGGATTTGGGGAAGAGAGAGAACAAATATGGGACAGTAGTTGAAAACCTTGCATAATTTTTCCTGACTCTAGCTGCCAAATGGCCATTGTATGCTTTTCATCTTTGTTTTTATTGTCTGTCAGGGTTGAATTAAGAAGCTACTGGTTTATTCCCAACTGTTGATGCCTTTAGATATGTTGGAATCCTTTTTTGTCAGAGGGGCCAGTTGAAAATCTGTGACTCAAAAGGCAGTGAACATAATATCATTTTCTGGGGGAAAAAATTGGTTGGCTACTTGATGTTAATTATGGCACAGGAAAAGGTTGTGTCTGTGTTTTTAAGTTTTTCTTTATTCTGCTTTTTTGCTGCTATAAGAGTTTTCTGAAATTTATATTTTAAACTTTTCATGCACTTTACTGTTTCTAGTCTCAAAATGTGATATTTTTAATAAACAAGAAATTTTCCATTATGTGAATGAAATTTTAAAAGAAAATAGCCTATATTTGTGTCTCACTAATATATAAAGTACAGGTCAAATTTAAATTATTTAATTAGTTTTAAATATAAACAATTTGTCTCCTCTTAAACCTGACATCGTAGGCTGTTTTATTAGTCTTAAATGATGCATTTACTTTGGTCATTTTATGCTAATTTCTTCCATAGTAAATTAATCAGGCTATATGAGATAATATTTCCCCAAAGGGTAATTTTAGTGGGACGAGGGTGGTGGGATGATGTACTATCATATATGGGATTGCATTAGCAGAAGGGTTCTGTAAAGCCTAAACTCCCTTTTAAAAGTGCCTAGTTATAGAGGCGTTGTTTGTCATCTGTTATAATTGGAATGTCATTGTAGTTCAGTGAAGTTTGATGTAAATAAAATACTTTAAAAAATGTTAAAGTACCAGAATAAACAAAAAGAAACAACCCTTAAGATGACAGATTTTCCTCAACATGCAGGTATCCCTTCTTATATACCTCAAGCATCCAACATCTAGCCATGCAAATTGATTACCTGAAGCATAGTACTGGAAAGTAGAATAGCATGAAAAACTTAATTTTGTGGACATTACCTTTTTTGTAATCAGCTACTGTATGTTTTATTTTAGATCTTTTGTTTTTGGTGGGTTTTCTGCTCTGGAGGTATATGCACTAACAAAACATTTTCCTCCTTTCATATACGCATGTTAATTAGCAATGTGAGCAATATTTCCTACCATACTTCACTCCCAGTATTTTTCGAGATGTTTGTATAAAATGGAATTTAAAGTTCACTTATGATTGTATATGAACCACAGAGGAGCCCATTTATTAATAAACTTTTTTAATAGTTAAATGTAGAGGGAAAAAATAAAAAAAATTGGGAAACATTGTAAACAGCTTAAGTTTATTTTGTGTATGATCGAGGCACTCTGTTGCAGGAAGGTGTGTAATTGGGTTCTCTCTGCTTCCAGATGCACTCTTTCAAACCATTCATTATCCTGTGTATTTTTAATGTGGTTTTAGTACATGTTGGTAGTAGCTCTGTTGAAGTAGGTAACTGTGTTATGTTTTGGGTGACGCACACACTTGGGGCATGGTAACCCAAATTTCATGTGCACGGTTTCCCTTTAGGCCCGCAGCCCACATTTCACACACCCTTCACCTTTTGTTCCTTTTGTGAAAGGAGTGGTATCTGTTTTGAGCTGCCAATTCAGGTGATCAGAAATGCTGCTTTCCTCAGCATTGTCTTGTTAAAACGCATGCCATTTGGAACTTTGGCAGTGAGAGGCCAAAAGGAAGAGGTGAATGACATACGGTATATATTCAATGAAGGTAAAATTTGTATGCTCATATACTTTCTAGTCCTCAGAATAAGTTAATAAGCTTTATGGCATTGGGCTGCTGCATATTTTATCTGAAGATAAAAGGAAATTTGGGCATTTTTAGAATGTGATACCTGTTTTTTTAACTGTTAAATATTATTTCTGATGTTTGTCTAAGAACTGGAGTGTTCTGTAAGTTTATTAAAACAGTGCTGTTTGAGGAAGAGAAGACAGCACTGTTTGCCACTATTACTGTCATACAAGTGCATGTTGAGTCACCCACTCTCTCAGGCATCAGAATCCGCCTCATAGCTTTACGCGTTTTAATGGGGAATTTTGCAGCATCCTCAGGACTGACATCTGGGAAAGCTCAAATCCATTTACTGCTCCTTGCTTGTTGACTTTGTTTTAAAATATTGTGCCTGGTGTCAACTTTTAAGCAACAGCACTGCCTAAAAGCAAGCAGAGAACAGAATCCCAGCACCATTCTATAGGCAACTTTTTAGAATTCAGATATAGTAAATCTGTTCAAGATTTATGATGTTTTATGTAAAAGAAAATTTTGTATAACATAGCTGAATATTTTTGTTTCATTTCTTTGATGTAAGGCGTGTGAACATTCGTTTGAATATCACATGTTAAAGTCAGGTATGGCACAATGGGTTCTGAGACCAGCTCCCCCCCCCCACCGCCCCCTCCCATTTGCCTTGTTCTAAGCTTTCTTTTCAAATTACTTTTCTGATATTCATAGGCAGATATTTAATTTTACTAAATAAGCATCCTCTGTGAATGTATTAAAGAAGCCCCTGTGTTTTAGTGTTGTAGTTTGCAAAAATATAAAGCTCCATTTCTTATTTGCCCCCTTTTTTTGGTGTCTTAAAGTTATGTATTAAATCACAGAAAAGCAAGGGAGAAAGTTGAAAAATATCTAAGGCTCATATCACTTGATTCTATGATAGATTGTACTAGAATTGAGGGTGTGGCACATTAACACCGGAACATGGACAAATGGGTTCCATTTTACAATCCCGTCTCCAAGCAAATATTGTTGAATGGATAAAAATTTAAGTTTGTCTTTGCATTTCCAAGAGTTTCTAAAAATCACCAATGCATCTGTACTTTAAATATCAAATAACAAAGAGTAGCGAAAGCACAAAGAAAAACAGATTTAAATATGTTCTCTGAAGGAACCAGAGGCATATGGTTTGTCATTCTAATACAAGGCTCAATTTTCTAGTGATAAAAATGGACTGTGTCCCAATAGTTATTTGATTGTAAGCTTTTCTATTCTGAGTTTCTGAGATACTGTAATAACTTTGCAAAATATGTTGACTGATCAGTAGCTTCGGTTACAGAAAACGTGATCAGTTCTGCTACAATAATGGTTTTATAGCAAGCGAAGATTTTATGGCACATTTTCAAAATAGCACTCGTATGTATTTTGACAGAAATATGAATTCTCACATTTGTAAGGTATTTCTTTCTCTTTTTCCCACCTGCCCTCCCCTTTTAAATAAAAAATCACCTTTCTAATGTGGAGAATATTCATTTTACCCCTTTCCTTTTGAATTATGTCTGTAGAGCTCTGTGAATTGTAGGTAGACAAATGAGGGAAGTTAGGATTATTTTTCTAAGCCAGGAACTTCAACTAAAGTTTTGAATTTGTAGACAGATGAGAATTTTTGTTTATGATTGCTTTGGGTGATTTTAATTTTACAATAAATAGCATCAAAATCACCAATTTTAGATTCAAACAGAAGTAAGTTAGTACATTTTTCACCCAGCTTATTTACCAAAGTTGTAATCTGTTGAACGGGATGCCAAGAGCGTCTTTCATTTTGTAGAATGATATGCATATCTTTATTTTATAAATGTCACCTAAAAGCATAAGAGTAAAAAAAAAAAGGAAAGCCCTTACATTTATACTACTGTTAAACCTACATGCTGTTCTGAATAAGACCTACAGAAAGAAAATTAAAAAACAGCTCTTTTCTGGAAGGTGGTAGGGGAGAGCATACGTATTTCCTGTTTTAACGAAATACCTTCTTTATGTAAACTTCTCTATTAAATGACAAGCCCTACAACAAGAAAAAATAGAAACATACCAGGAAAATACCAAGCTTTATTAACCTAGTTAGTAATATCTTTTAGCATTAAGTTTGGTTAGACTTGGGTTATTCTTGGAACCAAAGGAAAACAAATGTGTTGAGGTTTTCATTCAACAAACATGTTGAAGTGATGGAGTAAGCTAAGTAAAATCGCTTTCACTTTCAAAGCATATGAAATAAGGACATTTCTGCCTGTTAAATGTTAATTTGGATGACACATCATGTGAACTGAGTAGCATTGAACTGAAATTAGAAGTGTCATCAGAAATCACATTATGAAAAGGATAGACAAATGCCAAGTGATATGACTCTTTTGGCATGGTAGCTTTCAGAATGTTTCAGAAGGCATACTTTGGTGCCTATTACTAGTATTTTTGTTATCACAATCTCCCTGAATTTAGATAATTTCCCTGTTTGTCACTTTTAACTCTAAAGCGTAAGAATCGTGGTAGCCCTCTCAGAAGTGGTCCTTTCTTGCTCAGTTCAGTTTTGTGTTAATTTCGAATTACGGATGTATTTTCTTTCAAGCTATCAATTGTTGTATTTACTATATTTGTTTAATTTGCCTGTAGTTATCTGAACTCACAAAATTGGCTCAGCATTGATGTGTTAAAACAATGGCTTTGCTTCTTACTGAACAGACTTAGTATCCTGCTACTTGTTTGAATCTTGATGCAGTACGCGATGCAGTATCTGGGT